CCGCTCTCTCTTCTCTCTCTCTCTCTCTCTCTCTCTCTCTCTCTCTCTCTCTCTCTTCTCTCTTCTCTCTCTCTCTCTCTTCTCTCTCCTCTCTCTCTCTCTCTCTCTCTCTCACTCTCTCTCTATCTCTCTCCTCTCTCTCTTCTCTCTCTCTCTCTCGCTCTCCTCTGTATCGTGCTTTGGTGCACGTGCGTGCACGCGTATCGTGCTTTGGTGCACGTGCGTGCACGCGTATCGTGCTTTGGTGCACGTTCGTGCACGCGTATCGTGCTTTGGTGCATGCGCATCGTGCTTTGGTGCACGTTCGTGCATGCGTATCGTGCTTTGGTGCACGTGCGTGCACGCGTATCGTGCTTTGGTGCACGCGTATCGTGCTTTGGTGCACGCGCATCGTGCTTTGGTGCACGTGCGTGCACGCGTATCGTGCTTTGGTGCACGTGCGTGCACGCGTATCGCAACGCGCGTGTGCATGTGGCTGAAAGAGGCATACACGATTTCACGAACCACTCAGTTTAGGCACAGTTAGCGTGTGTGTGTGTGTGTGTGTGTGCGTGCGTGCGTGTGTGTGTGCGTACGTGTGTGAGCGTGTTCGTGCGCGTGTGCGTCTTTCTAGCTCTCTCTGTCTCTGTCTGTTTCTCTCCTTTTCATCTCCATTCCTTCTAACCTAATGTACGTGCGTGATATTAATTCACAAACTAATTTGAATATTTTGAAGTGATTACATCCTGAATAACTTGAATACACTATAAAAGCCAATTTTATTAACATCTATAGTTCCAGGTAATATTTTGTAATTAGGCAGTGTGCTTTCAATTCTTTAATTGCGAAAAATATTTTTTTTAACAGAGAGAGAACAAATCCAGAGATACTCAATGGCTTCTTTCAGGAACGAGTCTAATTTTCAACCCGAATTTTTGTGCCTCGAACCCAAGTGCATCCGATTCAACATTCGACACTCATTTAGCATCGTATTCATAAAAATTATTCAAAGGTCGTCAAGTCAAAAATAACGAGACCTGCAGGGCCGAGATTCATCAACGTTGCGTAAAGTTTATTGCGTACACAAAGATTCTACAAAGTACGTACGTAGGATAACTTTAGCTCGGGATAAGTCGTTTTATACTGACGTTAGCTCGGGTCTGAAGCGGACCTGAACCACCTCCTAGAGCAGAATAACTTTAGCTCGGGCTAAGTATTTTTCGACCTTTTATACTGGGGGTTATCCCGCTTCAGGTCCGGACCTGAAGCGAGATAACCCCCAGTATAATACCCCTTTTATACTGCACACGACTTTTCTGAAGCGGACTAAAGTCGTGCGCAGTATAAAAGGGGTATAAAATAAGACCAACCGCTTGTCTCTACGATACTCCTAGGCCGAGATATTGGAGCGTAATCATATGCCTCCCACAGGTCTCACGCCGCCTCGCATCCACAATATTCACTATCCTTCTCGCCTTTTGCGGGTCGGCTATCGTTTTCCGTCGCCGCTTGGAGCGCTGATAATTGATGTCACAGGGCATTAGCCGTGCTAGGAAAGATAATGGGAGATAAGGGCATAGGTGATGCCCCCGAAAGTCACCGATGATAACCGAAACGCCGTTCATTCATAAAGTTATCGCGGAAAAACCGAACTCTCACGAAGCGACTTTTCTAACCCGCAAAAGGCGAGAAGGATAGTGAATATTGTGGATGCAAAGCGCCGTGAGGCCTGTGGGAGGCGAAGTTTACGAGCCAATATCTCAGCCTAGGAGTATCGTATTGACAAGCGGCTGGTCTTGTTTTAGAGAGCAAAGAATTCTAGGCTCGCAAGCAAAGTAGAATAATATTGCCGGGAAATAGCACTATCTTCCCGTTTTTCCGTTGTACACTCTAGGTGTTTATTAGCTCTTGATACAATCAATATCTATATAACCAATAACATTAATAATAATATAATCTACAACCAATTGTACTCTTTTGGTAGCGCAGACTTACTGCTATATGAACTTAAGTAAAGCTCGCTTGAGCTAGCTTTTCACGTCACTTTTCAAATTCTCAGTTTCTCACAGAATTCCAATGAATCGATTGAGTGTGTGTAGATGGCTTCTCAATGCACAGAAGAGATACAGGACCTTATCTGCTCTTCACCATGCCCTCCCCCCAGAATAACTTAGATGAATAGAATTACTGGCCAGTTTCGTAATCACGTTAAACTTTAGATTTATTTATATTGTGAGCCACGAGAATAAACTCGATTAAACAGTTCTTTCCTCATCGCTCCTTTAGTTAGGATAACGTCAGTTAGAATGCCAAGCCACTTGAGCCACAGCTTCACTGGTTCTAGAAATACACGCACGCACACACGCACGCACACACGCACGCGCACACACACACAGACACACACGCACGCACACACACACGCACACGCAGACTTCTGTCACCTGAGAACCAGCCTGTTGCTATTTGCATGCACACCCCCAGCTCCCCCCCCCTCCCCCATGAAGGCGTACATCCGCATTTATGAAACGCTTCCACACGTTCATTCTGTGGAAAGCGTTTATTTACCTACGCGGCCGATTCTTCATCTCGAACAAAAGTAGCGGTATGTGTAATCGGTTCAGCCTGGCGAGATGCAGCTGCAGCTGTAACGAGGCAGCACCTTCTTCTTCTTCGCCAGCTTCCAAGAGTTTTTGTTTCGCCGGCATCGCGGCGACGTTAGGGATGGATTCAGCTGTCTCTACACGGCAGCGAGAGAGAGACAGCCACCGCCTCGCCTCGCCTCGCTCGTACAGTCATTCTTAGCTTCCTGCAGTTCTGCTCTCTCATCCGACACTCGTGGCCACTCCTGCTGCCTTAGCTGCAATTCTCCTCTCATCCGACCATCACAGTTATGGCTACTAACCAACCACATTGCAATTTCGTTCTCATTCGACCATCACAGTCAGTAGCACCTGCTATCCTTCCTGCAATTCTCTGATGACTTTCTATTGCCGTACCTGGCGTAGTTTTTTTCCAAAGCTATTATCTGGTTGATAAGGTTGATGGTACTTACCCCTGCCATTGTTTTTATGTTGTGTAAGGCATTCTGTGCATCCAGTGCGGCCTTTCGTGTGTAAAATGTGACAAAACAGCAACCTGAAACAAGACACACACATATACATCAGGGGTGAATGATGATATACAGGTATATGAAGTAACCACATTTAAGGGGTTATGGTAGCAACGGGAGTAAACGATGATATAGTAAGTGGTGGTGTGATCAAATCGGTGTCACCGCAGCACGTTTTAGTGCCAACTGACAAAATGAGTAACAACACGCATCCAGGACAGTGACATTTACTAAACATTTCTCATATTTTCTCAACTGCTTTGATACTTACTGGTATTGCTTGCTGAACAGCAAGTGTCTACAGTAGGGCTAACATGTCTTAGAACACTCGCAGGTTGTTATATAAACAACTAGAGCACTCGGAGAGCACAGACCTCCGCCAAGGCAGCTGAATTCTCTCAATGTGAAATTTTTTATTAATTAATTAATTAAGTGGAAAAAATAATTAATTGGATCCGGTTCACCACCAAAATGTAATCAATTCTAAGTTACCCCATTTCTGACCTATCCTGGAAATTTTATTAATTAATTAATTGAATCCGGATCACCACCAAAATGTAATCAATTCTAAGTTACCCCATTTCTGACCTATCCTGGAAATTTTATTAATTAATTAATTAGTAAATTAATTAATTAATTAATTGTAACGAAGGTGGATAGGGGCCGGTATGGATACATGGCTCATGTAGTTGACATATAGGTCGTGGGGAAGCGCAAGGACTCCTGAATAAAGCTATCCGAAGCTACCACGCGTGTCCAGCTGAAGCTGATAACATGGACGTCAGCAATGGCGACTACTGAGCATACCGAGGTCACACGGACCTTTATGCACATACAGTTGCATGATGTTATGTATGTATTTTCCCCAGACGTGTGTTTAAGTGTACAGACATGCGCGGCGAGACACCAAAATGAGTTGTGGGTTATCGCATATATCCCTAACCGAATATATTAGTTGAGAAATACGTTATTTGTGTAAATTCATCATCTGACTCAACAGTTATTAGAGCGCAACCCCAAAAATGCATAAAAAGGAACAAGGTATAATAATAAATAATAAAATATTTGCTTGATACGAAGACGGTACCAAAATCTATAAATCTATACCAAAAGACTATACCAAAATCTTGTTACTACTATACAATTTTCTGTCACGTACATTCATTTCTATATAAAATGCCCTGTAAATACCTTGTAATGCATTATTTTGCTCTTCAAATTTTGGCAAATCGGACTATATGTTGAAGTGGAGTTTACGCTTCGCATTAATTGTACCTATTTGTGAACAATTTAACTGTACTAAAGTTCTTAATAATTA